TATATATATATATATATATATATATATATATATGTATATATATACATGTACAGACATGTATATACAGACATGTATATATGTATATGCCGCAGTTTTATTTATGGAGCCAGTAATAAAAATAATTTCCCTCTGCGATTATTAAAGTATTTCTGATTCTGATAATATATACACGCAAATATAACAAATCCAACTCTCTTTACCGACCTGGACTTCTTCTTCCGTGAAGCCGATCACTGGGAGGGCCTTTGTCACCACTTTCCAGTTATTCTTGTCGCTGATGGAGCTGACTCTGGGACAATTTCCCTACGGAGAAACGTTGGAAAAATCACACCGGAGCTCTTGTTGAAAAACGGCTGAGTCAGCAAACCGGAGCGGACCCCCCGTACCTTGACCAGGTAGCTGTACTTCTGCGGGTTTCTCTCCAGGTCCAGCGCTTTGAGCAGGTCGTCGTCCCCTCCGTCCAGAAGCTGGTAGAAGATGTGGAAATTTCTTTCGCCGTGGTTCTGGTGAACAACGCGGGATTTCTCCAGCAGGTAGTTCAGGATGTGACCGCCCACCGGGGCCCCCTTAGAGAGCAAAGAAAAAAACATTGAGAGCACAAAGAAATCAACGTAAGCTGTTTAATGATTTGGATGTTTAATCATCGGTCACAAAAACCCCTAACCCTAACCTAAAAAAATCATAAAGTGTTTTTAGTTTCCTTTAAAAGTTTCTATTTTCTACAGTAAAAGACGAACAGAAAGACTCACCCGGAAGTCAAACTGGACATCCATGTACTTTCCGAAGCGACTGGAGTTGTCATTCCTCAGTGTTTTAGCGTTACCAAACGCCTGAAAAAGCCCCCAACGAGAAAAATCAAATGTTCTGTTCTGACTGAATAAACCAATAACATTTTTTTTTTTTTAATATGTTCTTTTAACATTGTAATCTTGGTTTTGCAAAAGCACTGGAGCTGTAACAAACGTATTGCTTTTTCCTTTGTTCCTGCTTTTAACTGTGTTTTAACCTTTTTTAAAAAAAACATTTTTGTTTGTTTGTTTTTTTATGCTGTTTTATGCTGTTCTTTTATTTAAAATGTCTTGTCTTAATGTAAAGCACATTTAGTTGCTGCTTGGTATGAATTGCGCTATATGAATAAAAATGCCTTGCCTTGCCTTGCCATAAGAACAGATCAAAATTAGAAAAGAAAAATTGTCTGTCTTGGCTGTTTAATTAACAGAGATTAACAGAGGATAGCAATTCAGTTCAGGTAAATGCATTTATGGAGTGGCTAATCACAATAAATGTCTTAAGGTACAAACAAATTGCACCTTGACCAGCTTTGGTCAGGGATTTACCTCCAGAACGGGGTTGGACTGCAGGAGGCGGTCACCCAGGGCGGCCATGTTCTCGTTGGTGGGGCAGGTGACGGCGTAATAGAGCAGGATCTTTTTGGAGGCCTCAGTTTTCCCTGCTCCACTCTCCCCTGAGATGAGAATACACTGGTCCCTCCGCTCCGTCCTCATGGCCCGGTACGTGTTGTCCGATAACGCATAGCTGGGGAAAAAGGGAAATTAAAAAACTAAATGCACAGAAATCAGTTCTACTCTTCTATTGTCAGATATGTGGACATTAATAATCTAACTGTCCTGATTTTGTATTTATGATGTTTTAGTGTGTGATTTGTTGTGTTGTGTACAGTCAATGTTTTTTGTGTAAAAGCCTAACTTGGGACAGGCATTGAGAATTAGCCCTTAGCTAAAATGTTGTAGTGTCGGATATGTTTCATGAAACATACTTTTCCCTATCAAATAAATGAATAAATAAAATATTAGGGGTGTTAGAAGCTTTAAAGTAACATCAGTATCAATATGTTAAATACTTTTGACCCAACGATCCAAAAAATATTGAAAAATATTGAAAATCATGGCATGAATCATGGCATTGAGTTATTTGTATTTTTTTTTACAGTTTATGAATTTATAAAATGATTATATTACCTGATTAAATTATGTAATTGTATGTATTACACCCATAATGTTTTGTTTAAGAGATTTAGCAACATCAGTATCAATATGTTAAATACTTTTGACCCAACGATCCAAAAAATATTTTAAAATATTGAAAATCATGGCATGAATCCTGGCATTGAGTTATGTATATTTTTTACGGTTTATGAATTTATAAAATGATTATATTACCTGATTAAATGATTTAATTCTATGTATTACACCCATAATGTTTTGTTTAAGAGATTTAGCAACATCAGTATCAATATGTTAAATACTTTTGACCCAATGATCCAAAAAATATTTTAAAATATTGAAAATCATGGCATGAATCATGGCATTG